GTCCAGCAGCTTTTTAGCCCTGAGATAAAGTTCCAGGTCTTTGCTTCTTTAGGCCATTCTATACACTTCAAATAATTTATCCTACACATGCATCAAAGAAAATCTTTAATTTATGTATTTTTTGGGGGGATTCTTATTAACATAATTTCTACATCTGATTTATGGAGTTTAGACACTGTCCTAGGTGACTGAAATTCATTTCATCTTCTATAACTTCCAAGTTACCCCTCTTGAAATTGTTTCTCAAAATCTATTTCTGTACAAAGTTAAGGAAGTACACATATATCACCTACACAATTCCATATAACACAAACTTATCCATATAATTCATGTGCAACTGTTTGATTTATTGTTGTAAAGGTATAATCATTTTTCTTTGGTAGTTTGTCCTTATTGTTATTTATAACAATTTTCATCCATAAACTCCATAATCCACTTGGCCTCCGGAACAGTGCCACCTCCTAAGACTTTCCTATGTCAATTGCTGTTTCTTTTTTTCTTTCAGTTCCTCCTCCTGCATCTTTTAACATACGTTTCTCTTCTCCCATTTACTGAGACCCTACTAACTGGTGTGTTTCATGATCTCTGCTTCCAGCACCTATTTCTTTACTTTCTTTCCACCACTCCTCTTCTTCATTTTCCTTCATCCTTCTTATTATTCATCTAATAGTCACCCTTCCTTCCTTCTTCCAAGTCTGCTTCAGCCCTTGTCCTTCCCCTTCTCTGTATCTCTCACGACTCACTTCTATGGTCCAGTTCTATATCTCAGTATTTCTTAACCTTCAGCCCATTCCTCCTCTGTCTCATAACTTTTTCAAAGCAAAAACTACCAGCCCTACATCTTCCTCTCCCACTTTACCTTCTCTCTCTCTCTCCCTCTTGTCCAGTTTGTCCTTTCTTTCTCCCCAGTTGTGTACCTTTTCCCCACTTCAGTTTGCCTTCCTCTTGACTCCTCCTCCCAGCTGCCCTGTCCTAAAAGCGCTCCTTGGGTCCTTTACTCCTCAGCTTCTCTCCCTGCAAATACTTGTCACTATTCCCCTCTGACCCCAGCTCTCCCTCTTCTTTGTCCCTTTCCAATCCCCTCCTGGTAGTCACTTCAGTCTCTCTTCCCAGGCGCTTTCTACAGTTCCACCCTCCGCTCTCGCGGATCTCTGCCCTCTCTCTCCAGCTCTCGTGCCTTTGCCTCCCGCTCTCCCCTCCTTCCTCTTCCCCCGGTCCTCCCCCCTCCCTCCCAGCTTCCCTGCCTGGCTCGCTGCCTCCCTCGCCTCTTGTCTCATCTTGCCTGTGTTGTCTGGGAGGGGAGCCCTGCCTCCTCTCCCTCGCTCAGATCAATGCCCTGGCCACTCACTTTCTGATGTTGCACGACGGGAAATGCTTTGAATACTTACGACATGGCCGCTCACACTGATTGCCAAGATTGACAGCACTAACCATCGCCTTCACTTGTTTCAAGGGGGAAATCCCTAGTCTACCCGCTCAGCGCGCACCTCCCGGCACCCCGGCGGCAAACTTCTGCGGGTCAGCGCTCCCCCGCCCGGGGCGGGACACCCCCACAGACTTGAGTTAACGGGCTGCGCCGGCCGAGGCGTTGGGGGGGTTCCTGCTCCCTTGCTCCTGGGGCTGTGCTAATTGACCTAGCATCGACTTCCCTTCCTTAAGAAATTTTTTTATTTGTATCTTTCCCTTTTTCTTTAATGCCATTTACTCCCGCGGCGCAGCGCACAAGGAGCCCTCCCGTGCGGTACCACCCTGGAGCCCGCCCAGGTAACCGGGACGGAGCGAGCGATCTAGAGAGCGAGGGAGGCAGAGCGAGAGCTCGCGGCCCGTTTGCGAGCTACCTGTTGGGGAGCCGGAGGGGGCAGGGGCAGGAACCCTGGGTAGGGCAGCCGTCCGCTTGCGCCTTCCGCTCCTGCCCTTCCCGGCAGCTCCAGGGTTAGTTTTCCTAAACTGGGACTGAGGGGCTTGGGTCGGACAGGCGGAGGGACCAGAGCTGAGCGCGCGGAGCCCTGCGAGGGCGCGGGTTGCCGGGAGCCGCGGCCGCCCAGTCCGGTCGGGTTTCTGTGCTAGGCTGGGGAGGGGAGAGGAGGGAGGAGGAGCGGGAGGAGGGCGCTCAGCGGGGCCGACAGAGAGGGGAGAGTAGAGTCTGAGAAAGGGGCCCGAGCGTCTGCCGCTCGCTGGTGAACGCGCGGATCCCCAGGATGCGTCCCCTTCTCGGAGAGTTGTGCCTTGTTCCGGAGGCGGTGACAGATCAGCGTGGCGGGCTTCTGGTTTTCTTGCCACCCCCCAAGCCCCAAAATCTACTCCGAGAAAACACATGTTGTAGCTGTAGATAAGTGTGCGTAGGACACTAAGGCAAAAGGGCAGGGGAGCGAGACAAACAACGCAACCTTTGACAACAGAAAGCTGTTATCGCCATCCTAAGTATTCGTCCGGAAATCTGTCCGCCCTCTCGGCCCACCTTATTCCTCCTCCTCCGCCTCCCCGTGTAGATATTCTAACCTGTATAACTGGGAATGATATGAAAAAGAAGTCAGGTGGCTTAGAGAATGAATTTTTAAGTCTCCGTGAAGTTTGAGGTAGGTATCTCATTGAAGTTTGCGCAAGTGTGTGATGTAAGAAGCTTGTGTGCCTGCGTGTGTAGTTCTCTCTCTCTCTCTCTCTCTCTCTCTCTCTCTCTCTCTCTCTCTCTCTCTCTCTCTCTCTCTCTCTCTCTCTCTCAGCATATGCTTGTGTGCTCTGTTAGGGTTTAGATGGAACCGCTGGGTGGTAATGCCCTTTGTTCCCACAAGAGGGCAGCATCTTGAGGGCTTTGTGAGCGCTGTATCTTCGTTATCGCAGCAGCTTGGGTTTAGAGAAAGTTATACCTAAACTTTCAAATTGATATCACCTCTTATTTCGTGATATTAAAAAAGAAAGACATAGAGAAAAGAGGGAAAAAGAGAAGTGAAGAAAGAAGAGAGAAAACAGAAAATCAGGCAGCCAGCCACCCCGGGAGAGTCCCAGTCACACCAAGACTAGGGGGAGGGCTGTTTTAATTGTGGGTTTGGCCGACTGACGACTGGAGTGCCCTCCTCGGCTGTCTTAGTTGTAGCCGGAGGTCATGTAAATCGACCTTAAAAGAATGCATAAGCCATAAATTAAAATAAACCCTCACCCAAGGGCTGATCCATAAGTAGACAATATCCAACCTGGACAAAACGAGCTTTCCTTACGAGCCGACCTAAACCGCATACCCCCAAAGAATAGAGGCTAAATGCAAAGTAAGTTTCCCAGCGAATATTTTGTTTTCTTGAAAAGTGTTGGGTTGGTTCGCCGTGTGACTGACTGCGATGCCGCAGTTTTCCGGAGCGCTTCAGTGTTAGCCAGACTCAGGGTGCGGGAGGTGGGGAGGATCCGCTGGGTTGCTGGGCTTCTTAACGCTACCCCCACCCCACCCCCATTTTGGTTTGGAAACTTCGGCTATTTGTGGGATTGACGCTGGCTGAGGGTGGGCGAAAATCGAGGATCTCCGCGGCGCTCTCGGCGGGGGTGGTTTCCCCCGAGGAGTTCATAAAGAAAACCCGGGTCGCTAGAAAACTAGTACGTTTCCTCCTCCCACACTCACCCCGCCGCCGCTGTGCCGCAACTTTCTCGGGACCCCGCGCGAGTTGCCTCCAGTTCCCTCCGCTCTCTCTTCCTCTCCCCTACCCTTATTTTTGGGGCAAGACTTTTTTATGCTCTCTTTAGGAATAAACAAACCGAATTCCAAGACAGTCCGAAACCCAAGTGCTAATCTGTGGTCCTCTTTGCCTGGGACGCTAGGGCAATGGTGCCAGGCCCCGCGGGGGCGTGTGTTAGGGGCCGCCCAGCTCTGCCGGGTGCGGGCTCGGCCTGGGAGTCCCCGGGCCCCGCGCACAGTCGCCGGCACTTCTCCACCCTGCGGTCTTCCCTCCGCGCCCCTGAGCCCCGCCGGCGCCCTCCGTCCTTCTCGGCGCCCTGCCCCGGGCCCTCCGCCCGCTGCACTCTCCACAGACCCGCGAGATCTGCCGCTCTGGGGCTCGGCCCAGGCCCGGGGGCGGTGCTGCCACCCGCTCAAGCCGGGCTGCTCCCGGGGGAGCTGCTTTTTTCTTTCTCCCTTAAAGGGCTGGCCAGAGAAAGGAAGGGGCTTTTGCAAAGTCTGCTGGGGTTGTACTCGGGCCCCAGAGGAGCGCCCGCGTCTGCGGAGGACAGATTAGCTCCGTTTCCCAGACTGTTTCCCGGGCGCTCCGCGGAGCTTTAAGATAAAAAGAGAATTGAAGTGTTCGAAGCAGATAAAAGGTGGTTGTTGCCGGCGTGTTTTGAGTTTTATTTGAGCTCTCTTAGGCTGGCCAAGTTTGAAAACTTTAGTTTGTATGGACTGCCAGATATTGAATGCTGCCCCTATTTGGGGACTAAAAATAAACCTTCGACTCTGCTGGCGGGGCTGGGCTGCTAGCAGGATGGGCTGTCCCCGGCTGCTTCTGTGTGTCTGACCTCCTCAGAGGGCCGTGCTTGAAGTTTCGGCCTCGGGATGGCCCAAAGCCGTCGCTGCGGCAAGCTGGGCTGGGCTCTGGGCCTCCCGCTGCACTGTCAGTGGGGCACTCGGATGACGTCCATGTCCAGGGCGCTTGACCCTGGCGCGCACTCCCGTGGCCGGCCCTTCGCTCTGGCTGGGCGGCCCAGCCAACAACCCAGTGGAGTCGGGATGCGAGAGTGCCCCTTCTCCCCCGCCTCCCCAGGGTCTCCTCTCTTCTGCCCTTTATAGTCACATGCCCAGGTCCCGGGTCCCGAGGAGAACAGACGCAGCCCCGCCCAGTCTATTTCTAGGAGGAGGGTTTGGTGAATAAAAAGGTCAAGTGGTCGGGTCCACGAGCTGGTCCATGGCGAGGGGGGACTGGACGGACACCTGGCAAGGACCGCCCCGCCTGTCCCCCCCAACCCTGGCGGGTCCGCCCGCCCACGGCTGGCCTCCTCAGGCCACATTCTTTCGCTAAGTGTGAGAGGCTGTGGGAAAAGCAATCCCAAACCGGCTAAGAGCCGGCGAAGCTGATCCCGCGATGGCATTTTGTTTTGAACAGTTGCTTGGGTTGACGTTTCCTCATAAGGTAAGGTGTCACTGGACAGTCGGCTGCCCAAATGCCACATGTATAATTAGCTTGCGCACTCAGCACCTCGTCCCTGAGGCCCAAGGCCCATAGGCACGGGTTTGGCCGACCTGGTCTGCTCAGCTCCGTTCTGGGACATAGGGTTTCCGAGGAAGGGTGGAACCAGCCAGGACAGCCCTGGGAGGCCCCCAAACTCGGGGAGGTTGTGTCAGTGTAGCCTTGTTTTTAATTCATCTCTCTTCCTTTTCTTGTTCCTCAGCTCTCTTTATTTTTCGGTAGAAGGGGAACTACTGGTTAGAGGGGTAAACCTGATACCAGCGGCAGGGTGCAGACAGAATGAGAAAAGGGGATGCAGTGTAAATCGGGCAATATACTTTGCACACTCCGCCCATGGCCATGGGCATGGGGGGTGGGGTAGGGAGAGCTGTTAGTGCCCCTCTATCCCCACTAATCCAGTAGGACCAGTGCAGCCTTGGCATTGTATCCTGGTTTGGGTAGTCTCGTGGTTTGGATTGTTCACCTGTCTCTGTGCTCCCTCCCACCCTTACCCCAGAGGTCGCTCAACAAATTAGGATCAGTGTCCCGATTGCAGCTACTGTTTTCTCGCTCCATGCCTAGCCACTTGGGGCTGCTAGTGTTCACTGTGGGGCGAGCCTGGAAACATCTGCTGTCTCTTCTGTCTCATCCTTTTCAGCCTGGGGTTCTTAGGAGCAGTGCCTTGCCCTCTCTGTTTGTACCCAGATTGGTGCTTGAGCTTCCTGCCTAGCTTCTCAGACCCCTGCCTCAGGTCAGCTTTTGCCTGCACTCTGGCTGAAACCAGGTTTCTGCAGCCATGAACATGACCTTCCTTCTGTCACCCTGTGCAGTCACAGTGGAATTCAACACTCAGCATTAGACACTTTCATCCTCCTTCCTCCCCTTGTTTCTAGGCCACTCGGAAATGCCTGATACCTACTAGAGGATTATCTTTATTTTAAAAGCAAACATCCTAAACCATCCATAAGTTTAGTGGGATAGGGTTAGCTTTGCTATGGCAGCAAGAGTGTACCTTTCAGGTGGGAGGTGGTGACATGGTTTTATTTAGTTGCATTTGATTTTTATTGAAGCAATGAAATATTTCATTTTCATACAGTAAGGGAAAAATATGACTGAATTTTTAAAACTCTACCAGACCACAAATGTGTGATCTATATACTTCTGAGAGTCTTTCCAAATGCAGGCATATATGTGAGCACATGGACAGTAGGCCTAATGTAGATTTTTTTCATTATACATTTTTGAAAACCTCTTAACTCAAGACAGATTGTCCTTATCCTAAGAACAACAAGAACAACAACCAACCAACCTCCCCCCCCCCCCAAATTCTTCAGACTCTGAAAGTAAGCAAGTTGCACCACACTTACTAGATCTTGTTCATGACCAAAGGCAGTAAGTAATCAGGATCTAGCTAAATACTAGGTCATTAATTCCCTAGGCAAACTGACATCCTCTGTTGCTTTTCTCATGTACTATCAACACCCCTGTTCTCCTTTGCTCTCCCACCATATTCCATTACATATAGTGGTAAAACAAGATAGTTTTTTAAAATTGTTCATCCTATTTAATGCTATTCTTAGTGTTTGTTTTGGAAGTAATCAGAAGGAACTTTCTCCTGGTATATATATGTATATATATATTTTAAATGCAAAATTTATGAGTTTGTTATTATGGAGCATGATACAAACTCCTATAATAGTATGTTTGGTAACTATAACACTCAACATTGTATTATAAAGAAAAATAAATGTAAAAATAGTAATTAATAAAGCACTGTCAATCTCTATACCTTAAGTTGATTCTATAATGGATTCAATAACAATAACTTGAAGAAATGACATTCAATAGGAATATTATATTGTCTGTTGGACATTTTTTCATTAGTAACAGAAAGCAATAGATATTTTTCTTAGTAAGGGAAAAGCGTATGTTTAAAATACACTAACATACCTGGCAAGTCCTTTATAAAGCTTTAAAATACTACTTTCAATACATAAATGATAAATTTTAGTGGCATTATATCTGTTTCTATTAGCTTTGTAAAAGGAATTATTAGATTATTGGTCACTGATAAAATTGCTGTACATATCCATCTTCTATTGAAGAAATTAGTGATGTTTTAAATAATTCTTTTTCAATTAGCTCAATAGGTACTGGAATAAATGAATTTTCTTTTAGTAAGATTTATTATATATTGGTGTTAACCTTTACTTTTAATATTTTCTATGCTTCTCAGTTTTGTTAGGTTATTCATATCCAAGTTTGAAAGAATTATCTTCTTAGTGAAATAATTCATATATACTTTTTTACTATTTACAAACAGCATTCTCTAAAAGTATAGCAGAGTACAACTAAAATTTTGGTTGATATAAGAGCTGTTTGTTTAAATATAGTTTAGGGGTGCATATATATCAATTGATGTTTTTGAAGTCAAGTGAAACATTCCATCAAGCTAATGTGTCTGAGAGTACCATATCAGGCACAGACAGGTACTAGAAATGATAAAACACAGATAACATACAGCAAGATGATTTGCAGATGGGATGTATTATCTGCTGTCATGAGGTTAGATGGGTCATATTACTGGTTTTAAAGAAACTAATCTAGGTTATTTCAGAATTATCAAGTTATGTAGGTATATGAGATTTAATGAAAACATTTTATTATAGAAACTTGCTAAAATATGAACAAATATTCATTGCTTTTTAGAGGAAGAAATAGACTATCTTTGCATTTGGATTGCTTCTTGTTTAAGAAATATGGCTCTCTCCTATTATTTTTTCCCTAACAAGGAAAATAATGTATTGAACATTTTGTGACTTTATTCTAACTCCACATTTTCTACTCTGAATCTCAACATACTCAAGTAAAGAAAAAAAAAAAAAAAAGCTGCCACTCCAGTATAGTCTATGAAAAGCATTTTTATTAGATGTAAGCACATTTTAAATGTATAGATTATCCTTTTTACTTCAGGTTCCTCCATTGTGATTTGAAAACTAATTGTTTTGGTAAGAGTTATATCAACAACGTCCATCCATTCTCCCATTACATATTTTTATTTGTGTATAGGAAAAGTGTTTTTATTTCCCTTGTTCTGTAGAACAGGGTAAAAGCTTCTCAGTGAATTATTTTGTTTAGACATTTAGTCAAACTGGAAATAGTTTTAAACTTGTGTTATGCTTTTTGATAGAGCTTTTCAGGTTGTAAATACCCATTGTCATAATTTGGGTAAAAATATCAGTTGAAGAATGTGCGTGGAGGTTGTAAGATGGAATATCATTTCAATATACTACGCACTCTCTCACCTCCAGGAAAAGGGTGCTGGTCTGTTTTTCCTCAAATCTGTGGTAGTCTCAAAAAGGGAGCATGAAACCCTAAAACCTCAGAGAAACAGTATCGATTCAATTCTTAACTGCAAATCTTTCATATCGTTGCTCAAAATATCCAACTTTACACCAATATTAGCCATTCTTTTTATAGTGACACCATGCTTAGTAAAAAACTTCTAAGCACTGAGGTCAGGTGTTGAGATTGGATTCTAGTTTATTTTTTATGAATCAGATAAAGATTTCTGTGCATGAAACCATATGTGAAGATGAGAGAACAAGAACATTTCCATATCAAAGGCAATATATCTGAGGCTGCATGGTAATTAAAATGCAGTGGTTTGGACTCTGTGCACTAGCACTTAAACAGAGCATTGCCGGGACCTTGTGCATCATGCAGGCGGTTGCCTCTTGCATACTTCTTGAAATACACTTATAATTTTGTACAAACATTTATGCCAGTCCACACTTTTCTGTGGATAATTTGAATTTCATCCAAACCATTCAAAGTAGGAGTTATTTTTTGAGCTACCCCCTCATTATGGCTTTTGTGCATCAACTATTTTTATTCCAGTTGTTTGTATTTCCTTTTACCAGAATGATGGCTTGTTTATATTCAGATTCTCTGCTTGCTCCTCTAAGACCCCTTATATGTCACTCATATTTTACTATTCACTCAAAAAAACTTTTAGTTTTAGGAAAGATGTGAATTATTTTCTGAGGTTAATTGTAGATGCTATAATCTATTATAAACTAATAAACTACATTTAAAAAATCAACCGCCCAGTTATTTCTACTTTATCATGCTAATACATTTAGTAATCCTCAATAACTTGCACAGTACATAATACTGGAAACAATTTTTTTTACAATGTTTAAAGAATTCTGAAATATTCTTCCTTACCTTTTAATGGCATGAAAAAAAAAAAAATGTGTAGTGGCATTCTCTTTCTTACTACTTCAAGTGAAAAACAATTATTTGACATGATAGAAATCTTTATCTAAAGAGTTATCTCTTTGTATTTATAGGGAGATGTTTGATTCTATTTATAAAGACCTGGTGATCTCAACCTGTAGTCATTTAAGATAGAATAGTGAAATAAAAAAAATCATCTAACTGTTGGTAGTTTAGTGTTGTATATGTTTTAGAAAATTTTTTGTCTTTGGTGACTGGCTTGAATTTGCTGCTCTGTAATTTTCTGGATTTTCTATTTCCGTATTTGTGCTCCATCTATGAACATTCCGCTCTGGTGTGTGAAACAAGGAATTCACTGGTATATTCCATTTACCAAGCTTTTCTGTGTTATAGAGCTTTAAAAAGATTTCTCTGGATTGAAGCACCATGTGTTGAAGAAGCCTAATGTGTTATAATGGAATTCTTTAAGAGTTTTTGTATTTTTAAACTGTTTTGGACCAAAAATTACTTAGGTATATCAATTTGATGCTTTTCAGTGATGACATATGCATAATAAAATATAAGGTAAATTCAAAGTACATTATATGATGCATATCTATGTAAACATTCTATACTTTCTAATTTTAATTTCTTTCTTTGAAAATTCTCACAAGATAACCTTTGAAATGATCTACTATCCCTGCTACTTAAATCATTTGTTGTTTCTAGTCACCTTAAAGGAC